ATAGTTCCAAGAAGCTTAAAGACTCTGATCGTTTTGGAGGTGTCTATATCCGCCGGGACCTGACCTTCCAGCAGAGACAGGAAAAGGCAAGGATCTTCCACAGCAGGGTCAATGACCGCAGTGACAATAGAGCAATGCCACCAGTACCGCCACCACCCGGACCCGAGCAGTCCCAGTCCAGAGGCCGGCCGGGAACCCAGATTCTGTGACTTCTGGAGGTTCAAACGCCCCACCCCCTCTGATTGACACACACCCTAAACAACACATCACAGCTGGCGATGCTGGTCCTCAAGAGGACCAGGGAAACTAACAAATATTCTCAACCAGCACCTTCACGAACTCACCGTTTGAATCTATGCCAATGTAATGTGAATGGTATTTGCCCGAAGGTGGAACTGATTAAAGATATTATTGTGATTCCCCACAAGCCAGACATTCTTCTGATCACAGAAACTCATCTCACACCCTCCATCGCAGACTCAACAGTGCAGACGCCTGGTTACAATCTTGTTCGAAATGATAGCGGTAGCCTTTGCAAACATGGAGTTTGTGCCTACATATCAACAAACATTACATATGACACTCTCAACCTCTCACACCCAAATGTTATCTCTTTTCGTTTGGCTGCTTGCAATGTATTCATATATGTGGTATGTAGACCCCCATCCAACACCAGTGAGATGAACGAAGCTTTGACAGAGTTTCTGCTAGATAACTGTGCTAATCAGGAAGCAATTTTATTGGGAGATTTTAATCTTCCCTCACTTGACTGGTCCTCAGATGGCGGTCAGGTGACAGCCAACGTTTCTTTTACTGATGCCGTCTTTTTGTCAATGTTCGACACACTCGGTCTTGCCCAATGGGTGTCCGAGCCAACGTTTCCTCGCTCTGGCAACATCTTAGATCTCATTCTAACATCTGAACCGGACAGAGTCGGTAATGTGATGGTGCTCCCTCCTCCCCCAGGATGTGATCACTGCAGCACTCTTTGTGAATATGTATTTGACTTGGATGTTCAGAATCAGTCCCATGGCGAGCCTCACTATGTATGGCACAAGGGCAGTTACGATACGATCTGTTCTGAACTCAGGGATGTTGACTGGGAGTCAGAGTTTGAATGTCTCAATGCCGAGCAATCCTTCAACAGACTCTTAGAGATCATACTCCCGCTCATCCAAGAGTGTGTCCCCACCGCTGACAAGAGTAGGGAGCAGAACCGACTGCCTTGGAAGACAAGTGTCCCAAACTCTCTTAAGCGTAGACGCAGTCAGGCATGGGACAGGTACAAGCGAGATAGACACACTCACGGACGTAGGTCTGCGATTTGCCGGACATCGCTCACCAACTTTCTCGAAGTTAACCAGGAGTACCGCACCTCTGCACTGCGTTCACAGGTCGCGTACGAAAGGTCGCTACTTACAAAGATGAAAGAAAATCCAAAGCTTTTCCACGCGTATATCCGCAACAAGAAGAAGTTTCGCTCGTCAGTGGGTCCCCTGAGACTTCCATCTGGTGGCCTGACAGATGATCCAGCGGAAATGGCAGAGTGTTTTTCATCTTCGTTTGCTGGTGTGTATGTCGGAGAGGTTCCAAACAACCCTGCCGAACACCAGGTATCCGGAGCAGCTCTTGGCCACTTGGACCTGACCACCCGAGATGTGGAACAGGTACTGCTCAACCTGGATGGTAACTCTGCGATGGGTCCAGATCACCTCCACCCCATGCTACTGAAGTCGTGTGCAACTCATCTCGTTTACCCGTTTCATGTCATCTTCTGCCGGTCCATGAACGAGGGACTTCTGCCAGCACAATGGAAGAAATCCGTAGTCATCCCCATCTTTAAGAAGGGCTTGAGATATGATGCGCTGAATTACAGGCCAATTAGCCTTACCTCTGTTCCTTGTAAGTGCTTAGAAAAACTCATCTCCCGCGCCCTTTACGTTTTCCTCACTGATAACAACATTCTAACCAATGAGCAATTTGGTTTTCGACCCGGGAGATCGACAGATGACCAGCTCCTCCTGACATACAACGACGTATCTTCCTGGTTAGACGAAGGCTCAGCGGTGACGAAGACGAAGGCTCATTTTATTGGACTTTTCCAAGGCCTTCGATGTGGTCTGTCATTCGATCTTGCTTGATAAAATAAAGTGTATCGGTGTAGAAGGCCAAGTACTAGGCTGGATACACCAATTTCTCGTAGGCCGCTCCATGACTGTATCAGTAAAAGATGTTTCCAGCCAACCAAGGGAAGTCCTAAGTGGAGTCCCTCAAGGATCAGTCCTGGGGCCAATTTTATTTCTTATTTACATCAATCACATCGCCACATATCTCTCGTGTAAGTGTAAGCTATTCGCTGACGACCTGAAAATCTATATGCAACTCGGTAAAGGTAGCTCGTATCAAACAGACCAAAACGCGCTTCAGCGAAACATCAACACACTGCACGACACAGCCAGGTCATGGGGTCTAACTATTAACCTCAAAAATGCTTTTGTCTCAGGTTCCAACGCCGTTTTCACGATATGTCCCCGCCTACGCACACACTTGATGGTAAAAAGATTGTGACACTCCATTCGCAGACTGATCTTGGTGTTACCGTGGACGACAGTCTCAAGTTCCATGAGCATGCTCGTAATATAACCAGGAAAGCCGGCGGCCTCGCCCAGAACCTCCTAAAGTCTACGGTTTGCCGTTCGGGTGACTTCATGACAGAAGTTTTTAAGTCGCACATTCGCCCAATACTGGAGTGTGCGTCACCGGTATGGAACACAGAGTACCACCAGGACTTGAAGAGACTTGAGAGCGTCCAAAGACTTTGGACGCGCCAGGTGCTTGGACTCGAGAATGCCAACTACGGAACTCGATTGCGCGAGCTTAATTTGTACTCTGTCAAAGGGAGACTGCTCAGGGCTGACCTGATTAAATGCTGGAAGATTTTCCATGGCAAATGTACCATCAATCCTGCCGACTTGTGGATAATTGATCCCCCTTCTAGAACACGAGGTCACATGTTCAAGGTCCAGTGCAGGAGGTGGCAGATTGATGCAAGAGCCCGCTTTTTCAGTGCAAGAATTGTCCGCGATTGGAACTCCCTGCCCGCCTCTACAGTCTGTTCCGAAACCATTGAGCAATTCAAGACATCGTTGGCTGCAGCGTTAGGAGATAGGTTATTCGAGTTCATTCCTTAGTCAAATATCTCAACCTTCTGCATCCTTTGCATATGCCAACCTAGCCCCTGTCTGCCGTGGGAGGCGCCTCCACTTCGCCAAGAGAAGTGGAGGTAAGATGCACCACGGTTCCCGACACTAATCCTCCACATTCCTAATTTCCCCACAATAACCACCGTTATGTCCCATCACGCTACACACATTTTCGTCGTTGGTTTTTGGCTTGTCTTGATTGCGCATTTTGGCGCTGCGCGTTTGGCGCTACTTGTCTCGTCCAACTTTTGAACACTGTGAATACGACAGCACATCTGTATTGCAGACGCACACCTCCGCACACATATGCCAACCTAGCCCCTGTCTGCCGTGGGAGGCGCCTCCACTTCGCCAAGAGAAGTGGAGGTAAGATGCACCACGGTTCCCGACACTAATCCTCCACATTCCTAATTTCCCCACAATAACCACCGTTATGTCCCATCACGCTACACACATTTTCGTCGTTGCTTTTTGGCTTGTCTTGATTGCGCGTTTTGGCGCTGCGCGTTTGGCGCTGCGCGTTTTGGCACTGCGCGTTTGGCGCTACTTGTCTCGTCCAACTTTTGAACACATACGACAGCACATCTGTATTGCAGACGCACACCTCCGGCTCACAAACAACTTGAAACAAATGACATAGGTATATTTATGTATTGAGCCGGCGCGTCTCTATCCGAAATGCGTTTCCCTTTCACTTCCATCCATCTCCCTGTCCAATTCATATGGCTGAGGCGGGAAACCTACTAGGTGAGTTGACTAGGTGAGTATAATTTTTTCCTTTCTGATCCGTGTTCAACCCCCAATTCCCGAATCCGGCCCGCCCAGATCCGTTCTGTTTTTTTTTCTCCAAATTTGGGATCCAATCCTATCCGGTCCTGGATAACGGATTTATCCTGCCCATGAAGTGCTTTACGAACAGCCCCCCCCCCCCAAGTACTCTCTGCACCCGGCGGTCGGTGTGCTCCCTGGGGAGCAGCGGAGCCGCTCCAAGGGAGCAGCCCGCATGAGATAAAGGTGCCTGTCCAGCCCGGATCGAGGGTTGCGGCGTGGAGGAAAAGGATTTGAACATCCTGAAGATGGAAACGACGGACGGGTGTGCTCAATTTCTTCGTGCTATGGATGTCTATGGATGTCAGTGCTTTCTTGCCTCGGTCTCGGCGTTCGGGGATTGGGATTTCTGAATGGGGGCACTCTTAGAGGTATGAATCCATGTCCGAGCTTGCCATTGCTTGATCTCACCCATCAACCAAGCAGGCTTAACTGTTCAAACGCTGGCTCAGATATATAAGGTACTATTTCAATTACAATTTTTAAGGTACAATTTCTTTCGCCACTTTCGCATTACTAAACAAGAGGCACCCAACTGGGCATCCAACTCGACTCTGTAGTGCACATTGATTTTACCAACTTAGCACTTTTTTCATATCCCTGGAGGTGGAGCAGGTACACGTACGAGTATGTGCTCGTTCGTACTACATACCTAACTATCTTAATAAATATCTTTGTTTGGAGGAGATTATACTCATCTTCCCCGGCAAAATAAGTTATTATATAACGTTGTGGATCACTGATCTTGAAAACTTTGCCGTCGCAATACTTTCCAGATTGACAAGATCATAGCTGATAGCGGTCATAAGTGTTTAGCTGCCCGGTGTCTGGTGTCCCCTGTCCGTTTCAGTGGCTTTGAGCTGTCTGGTGTCTCCTGTCCTGGCTTCAGTGGTTTCAGCTGTCCTGTCCTGGTTTCAGTGGTTTTAGCTGCCCTGTGTCTGAGTGTCTCGTCTCGCTCCTCTGTTGCAGTGTGAGCTCGGAGAGAGGTTTTAGCGGTGGGCGCCGCTCTACTCGGGCGCAGCTCCTGCCGCCGATGTCCCTGCAGGGGCGCAGCGCCGGGCCGCCGCTCTACTCGGGCGCAGCGCCGGGCCGCCGCTCTACTCGGGCTCAGCGCCTGCCGCCGATGTCCCTGCAGGGGCTCAGCGCCGGCCCAGGTGAGGGAGCTGACCGGGCCAGGTGAGGGGGCTGACCGGGCCAGGTGAGGGGGCCGACCGGACCAGGTAAGGGAGCTGACATGCCAGACACACTCCCCCGCTCAGTGGAGGACGGTGGTGGACACACAGTTGGTGCCGGCCGCCTTTCCCGGGGGTGCCGCGCTCCCACCGGTCGTGGTCCGCTCCCACCGGTCAGTGGAGGTAGACTACAGTAAGTGGGCGCCTCCCCTGGTCAGGGGCCGCTCCACCAGTCAGGGGGCCGTTCCACCGCTCAGTGGAGGTAGACTACAGTAGGTGGGCGCCTCCCCTGGAGTGGTCAGGGGCTGCTCCACCAGTCAGGGGTCCGTTCCACCGGTTATTGGGCGTTCGCCGGTCAGTCAGACGCTCCATCGCACAACCTTTGTGAAAAAGGTGTACGCCCCACTCTGTTCACAATAGCCGTTTTCACGACGGGCTGTCAGGCGAATGCACCTAATTTGACCAAATTTGCACCAAACCTCTTTTACAATAAATATCTTGGTGTCATGAATTTATTTCAGTGTTTTAATCGAAAATAATGTCATTCACAAAGTATTTTAAACTACAAATGCTCCTTGCACAAGCACTAAGAAGGCTGAAAATAATTTGTCTGATAATTTGAAATATGAGGTTTATAAGCATCTGTGCAGCCCAAACTGATAACTTTTAAGAAACACACTGAACCCAAGTTGACCAAATCTGTACCAAACTCTGCGCCTAATCTGCACCAAATGGCTGTCGTGAAAACCGTCAATGTCATATCCGCCCTGCCGCTGTGTGTGCACTGTGCATGTATGATACGACTCATGAGTCATGACAGTCACGGATTATATAATTGTTCAGCTTTTAGATATTGACGGACATATTCATATACTTTCAGAAGAGCGGTACCTATTTGACTCCGGAAGTGTTTGGTCGTCCGCACAAGTGTGGTGGGAAGATGTGCAGCAGCTCGGAGGAGCTCGCCGGTTTGGTGGTGCGCTGAGAGTGAGGACGCTGGACGCCGGACGGAGACGGGCTGCGGCAGGGCGGACTGCTGAGGACGCCGGACGGAGACGGGCTGCGGCAGGGCGGGCCGCTGCGGAGAGGGCGCTGGGGACGCTGCGGAGAGGGCGCTGGGGACGCCGTGACCGGGCCGGCACGGCCATCTGTGATAGTGCCGACCGGAACCCGCCGCGCCGGGTCTCCGCTCACGGCATCGGGCCGCGGGCCGCCCGCGATCAGCTGCATCAGCGCTGAGCAGTCGGCAGCCAGCGGGTGATAATGTGTCCATCCATAATAACATGCGCTCGTCGAACAGACCCTGGTGCTCAATTTTGCCTAGCGTTGCCGTCATGTCGGTAGCCTGCTCAGTGCTCGGCAGTACATGGGACGCCGCACTCTGCACCGTACTATGAGTGGTTGAGGCTAACCGTATTTGCGAGCTCTCGACGAGAGGGTTTTGGAAAGGCTAGCTACTGTATGTATTGGGTAATATATCAATTAGAAATAACGAAGGCCTTCGGATGCTGTGCTCGGTGTTTTCTTCGTAGACGTCATTTCAGGGGAGTCTGAAAATATTTTGCAATCTATAAACATTCTCATTCTCTTATTTCTTTACCAAATGTCCCAGGCTCAATGCAATACAAGCTGCATCAACTACATATTTACATACTAACTTCCTTGTTATCCTGGCAAATCTCAATAACCCAAGGCGTGTTAAGTTAACATCTCACTAACCCATGATGTGTTAATGTCAATTTAACCCTCGCCAGGCGAGGGCCTTTTTCATAATACGGACGGCGAGGGGGGTTGGTACAACCCCCTCGGCGATTGGCTCCTATGGCACTAAGAAACGCCAAATTTACAGGATAGGTGGGCCTATAAGAGATCTCACCCTCGTTAAAATTTGGTGACTCTAAGCCAATATTTAGGGTGGTTTGGAGGGTATAAGTGCAAAAACTTCGTTAAAACATGTCAAAAGGGTTTCGCTATTAACTTAATATCTAGTGAAGATAAAGCAAACATAAAAGCACCTGTGAACTAAGCACCTCTGTAGGCATCGATTGATATACTTTGTTACCAATTTAAGTGAACTTTTGAATCTTTTTAAAAATTAAGTGAACTTAAATTAATTAATTGAGTTTACGTCAATCAAAATGCTTCATATTGCATATCATTCAAATGGCCTGATCACAAGGAACACAATGACACCATTTTTGAAGCTCTAGCCTCATTGTGTGCCAAGTTATTAGCAAAAACGTAGTTTGACCTTAGTTGACCTCAGTTGACCCGACCCAAGCATTCCTGCAGCTTGCAAACACCAACTCGATGTAAATCAAGGTAGTACAATACAAAAACGTTAATAAAGAGTACAAATCTCTCATCAGTCATCTTTACACCTTCGGGCAAATTTCCTTAACCCTCGCCCTGGCAGGGGGGAGGGTCGATGCGACCCCCCTAAGGTTTTTCGAAGATAGCGTAAAGACGGCGGCATGCAGCGCCGCCAAGTTTGGCACAGCCTATGTGGCAAGCTTTTTACATATGACCTGAAAATTTCAGGTCCGGGTAACCTTGGGTCAGGTCACCAGGTCAGAAAAACCGGTACAAGGTCATGGTCAAATTTCAATTTTCTTTTTGCACCTGTCCAACTCACAGTTTTGGACTGATTTCCTTCAAACTTTCAGGATGTGCTAAGTTCACCGATTTGTATAACATATAGTTCGGGTTTTTCGAGGTCACTGACCTGAGGTCAGTTAGAGGTCATTACGTCGTAATGTTACGCCTATGGGAAAATACTAAATTCGGAAAATACTGGAGATATCCGCTTCGTTCTATCACTTTTGTGCTTTGAAACCACAGTACTTAACAGCAGGTCACTTGGTGCTTCTTTGTTTGGTGTACTTATCCATGGGTCAGGTCAAATGAGGTCAACTGAGGTCAAATGACGTTTTTGCCAATAACTTGGCACATAATGACGCTAGAGCTTAAAAAATGGTGTCATTGTGTTCCTGGTGATAAGCCGAATCGAATGATATTCGATATGATGCAATTTAGTTAACTTGAACTTTATTAATTAATTTAAGTTTACTTTAAAATTAAGAAAAACTAAGTACACTTAAGCAAGCTAAAAAGTATAGCATTCGACGCGCCTTGACGTGCTGAGTTCACTGGTCCCTTTATTTTCGCTCTATCTTAACCCTCGCCGGACCTATTGGTTTTCTACATACGCGCCGGCCGAGGGGGGGGGGGCGGGTACGACCCCCTCTCGCCGTTTCGCCCCTGGTGGAGCTAGCGCGTCGCGGAAAAAACGAGCGTGTGCGCCGGTACGAGACGCAGAGATTGGTACCCGATTTTAAGATCCTAGGTCAACCGGTGACCTCTGAGGTCAGGTCAAGTGCCCCAAGGTACGGTTCAGTTTTTGGTGAATAACTTCGCAAAAAACGGCCGCAGAGCGCCGATTTTGGCAGCATCGTGTTCGCCTCGCTCAGGCGCGTCGAATGATATACTTTTTGTCCGGGTCAGGTCACCTTGGGGTGTTGACCTCAGGTCAAGGTCAGGTCAGCACCCCCAGGTCACGAAGTTGGTCGAAAGAGGTCATGTCGCATATCATTCGATTCGGCAGGCCTTCCTGAGTCCATTGGTGGCTTTCCCGACTCGCTAGCTCAATTTGATCAAGAGTTATTGACGAAAAACTAATATGACCTTGATGACGTCATAAATGACGTCACGAAAGGTCAACATTGCAAAAATGACGCATCTAACCTTGCTAGGAGTGCATCAAATCATGATTCGGTGTGCTTGAGATAGTTGGAGATCGTTCCCGGCGCCAGAATAGCAGTTTTCATTTTTCCCCATTGACTTATAATGGTGAGGTCACGAAAATGACCTGACCTCATATGACCTTTAGGAAAAATCCGAGATATAAAAGTTGTGGGACTCATAATGGATACTAGATCCTGCAAGTTTCATTTCCCTGTGACATCTCCTCTGGCATTTTTTTTTTTTTGTCCTCCCGGCAAGCCAAGTGGCTATAGCCGGGGGAGGGGGAAAGTTACTAGCTGGCAATTGGCCAGGTCTTCCGTTTACGTTACGTTAATGCCGGCTATTTAATTCCGGCCCAAGAACTAAGACAAAGGCAAAAGACTACGTTAAACCGGCTCATGTGGCGTCCGGTGGGTTACAAAGCAAAGGGAAGGCCGAAAGGTGCCTGATAGGCGAGACCAATAAATTTGGTTACTTACATAGAACTTGCTGCTGAGACTTGCTGCTGATTTGTGTGCTGTTGTTTGGTGTGTGTTGTTGTGGGGTGAACTTTACCAGGAAAAGTCCTAACTAGAAAAAACCTGGTGCCTATCCAAGAGGGCAAAAACCTGTGCGTTCAGCCAAAGTACACAGTAAAAAGCCCTTTCTTTTGATTACGTTACGTTATATCGCTAGGAGTGGCATTGTATGTGGATTTGCACGCAAGAGGTGTGCTCGGACTGACCAAATAAAAACCGGTCAGTCCGGCGACTCCTCTGCGGGTTATGGCAGCCGGTCTTAACCGGGTGCCGCCAGCCATGTCCCGCCCGTCTTAGGGGTTCAACTTTGGCGGCTTACATATATATATATATATATATATATATATATATATATATATATATATATATATATATATACATTTGGAAAAGGCGACCCGTGTGTAGACAAAGGAGAACGAAAGCGAATGGAAGCGAATGGAAGCAAAACGAAGCGGATGGAGACAACGATGGAAGATCATAAGAACATCCATATACTGTATGCAGGGTTGCGATCATATGCTATTAATGAGATTCGAATCACTGAGGAAGGTAAAGAGAAGTTCAATTAGATCTGGATGATCATCACCCAGGAGAGTTGGGAGGTCCAGGCTGAGGTTGTGTATGTCTGTGTAGTGAATGATGGGTTGACGGTATTGGTCGTAGTGTGGGCAGTTGAGAAGGAGGTGGGCAATGTTGAGTCGTGTTAGTGGAGGGCGTTGCGAAGTTGCGACATCTGAAGACCGTGCAGAGGTTCACTTATGACGTCATAGGTCAGTGACCTGACCTGACCCAAAAACGCGGTCGGTGTCAAAAGATCCGGCTTGGATCAAAGGTCAGGTATGCCAAGTTTCAGCTCTCTATCGCCAGCGTGTTCGGAGCTATCGCGAAAAAACCCTATGGGGGGGGGGGCTGGCACCCGCCCCCCCCTCGGCCGGCGAGGATTAATTAGATCAAAAGTTATATGCGAAAAACTTTTGACCTGTTTTTAGCGAAATTTTTACATTTATACCCCCCAAAACCCCCCTAAATATTGACCTAGAGCAACCAAATTTGCACAGGGGTGAGAACTCTAGGGGGTTCACCTACCTACCAAATTTGGTGTTTCTAAGTGCCATAGGAGCCAATCGCGAGGGGGAGGGGTCGCATCGACCCTCCCTGCCAGGCCGTGTTATGAAAAATGCCCTGCCAGGGCGAGGGTTAAAATTTGTGATGACCTCTAGATGACCTCAGGTCAACCGAATTAAAAAAAAAAACTGGAGTGCATTTGATGACACTCGGTGGGCTAAGCATACCCTGCAAGTTTGAATCAAATCAATGAAGAACTCCAGTTTTCATGAACAAAAAAGTGCATTTTTAGAGCTATTTTGACAATGTACCGGTTACGGTTTTTGTAACCTTGTGACCTGACCTCGGGTCACTGGAACCTAAAACTCCCAGGTCAAGTAACAAATAAATTTCCCAAGTCATATCTGAAATTTGGTAGCGCTACTTGCCATAGCACTCACGCTATCAACGAAAAACTCTGGCATCCAGTTGCCGCTGAACTAGTCCAATTTTCCCCTGACCTTGTACCGGTTTTTGTGACCTGGTGACCTGACCTGAAAAGACTGAAACCTGAAATTTTCAGGATAGGTGCCAAAAAGTTTCCGGCCAGAGAGTATTTAAATTTGGTGGCGCTATGCGCCTCCGTTTTAAACTTATCTGTGAAAAATCTTAGGGGGTTCCAACAACCTCCCTCGCCGGGCGAGGGTTAACGCGCCTTGGGGCCGGGGTTAATGACGTTGGTCAGGATAACACGCAAGTTAATAAATATTTTTTTACAGTATGTGCTAGATATAAGTGTTTCCCGCAAAGGTAGGGGAGACCGGGGCTAGTTGGTGCCAGGGTTACCTAAGTTGGGACGGAAGGAATATTTCCAATACAGTTCTCGGCAGTTGGCGTTCAAACTTATTTTGCGCATGCATAGTAACGCCGTCTGTTTGTCAACGTGGTGTCGGCGCTTCCTGAGGTAAGTGCTGTTAATAATCGCTAAAAATGTGTTTTCAGGTACCAAAAGTGATTTTCTTGCGTTGAAAATATTCTCTTCTATTGTCATTGATAGCGGAAACATTGCAAAGTCGCTACGCCTAAGAAACCTGCGGACATTTTGGCTATGAGTACACTCTCCACCGTTCTTCGCCAAATCATTGTGAATTGGTCACGTGGTTCAAAAATAAAAATGGCGCTTCGGGGTTAGTTGGGCCAGGTTGATGTGGGGCAAGTTGGGGAAGTTTGTGAACAGCAAGTCGAGGGAGAAATGCATTCAGTGTGAAGATTGGGCACATGTGCTATGCACAGGGGGCAGCAGAGTCTTCATCTGTCAAAACTGTTACTCGGAGAGCGAATGAGTGAGGTTGGTGATGTATTTTGTAAAACCATCTGAGGCTGGTCATACACATTTTGCGTGTGTGCGTTTTTTTTTTTGCCGCAGGAGTACTGCAAACGTTTGAGTTTTGTCGTTAAATGTTGATAAACATGCCCGCATGGATTAGCGATGATTGTTCTTGTGAAACATGAATACAAATGTGTTTAGATGAACTGTTTTTCCTAGTGCACCAACTTGCCCCAGCCTCTGGCCCGCCCCAACTCACCCCGCCGCGGGGTAAGTTGGGACATTGGAGGATGGTCGCTTTGATGAGATATTATACCAAGAAGATACTACCATCTTTCTTATTTTATGTCTTCTTTAAAAGATAAAGAAATAATATCTCAGTTAATAGCCAACAAATAATGATATGTATAGTTATACCGAAGTTATGACGCTTCAAGTAAAAACTGGCCCAACTAACCCCGGTCTTCCCTACCTCCCATCTTACTGATTAAATATAACATAGGTACGCAACTTCACTTTATATACCTGTGTATTGTACAAAATACATCGAGCTGTCACATCTAATAGAATGACACGCTAAGCACATCCATTTCGCCCATTGGGCGAATCATAAGTTTTGCCACAGGCGAACGCGCGTGGCCGGGCATCGGGCATGTAGCATGGTGAGCACACAGTATTGGGACACACTCTTTGTACTAGCCTTTTGAGCCTCCATTGGCACGGGCTTCGGTGAGCCAACTGGAACGGGTAGCTGCACGGGGGCACTGCAGTGCACGGCACGGCTGCAGTGCACGGCACGGCTGCAGTGCACGGCACGGCTGCAGTGCACGGCACGGCTGCAGTGCACGGCACGGCTGCAGTGCACGGCACGGCTGCAGTGCACGGCACGTGTCTGCTGAACTGCGGAGGAACACGCTGCACCAGTCTGCTGTGCACGGAACGCTGCTGACAATACCGGGTCGCACGGAATGTTGACTGGAAACGATACAGTGGGCGGCGCGCTGCCTGAAAACGTTGCTGCAGTGGGCGGAATGTGATAGGCTGACAGTTGGCAGTTAGCGATGCTAATTACTGGTCTAGTCTCAGAGTGCGTCCCCTTACACGGGCCCACTCTCAGATCAATGCGGCTCCAAGGGCCACCTCACTGGTCAGTGGTCACTGTCACCGGGCTGCAGTCGGCCCGGTGACAGAGGGCTGCAGTCGGCCCGGTGACAGAGGGCTGCAGTCTGCCCGGTAACAGAGGGCTGCAGTCTGCCCCGGTGACAGAGGCGGGGGGGGGGGGGGGGCGCCGGTCGGCCCCGGCTGCCGCGGCCCAAACTCGCCCGGGTCCCCCGTTAGCGCAGTACGGGATGGCAACGTTCAGTCGGACGGATAAACTGATTAAGTCGGAAGCGTCGGTTTGAAACGGGAGACGGCAGCTAATGTGTGTGTTTTTTTTCTCGTGTCATTGACCCTTGTTTACGCGGAAGTAGACAATAGACATCAGCCCAGGGTGCTGCCATATCGATCATTTAGCATATTAGCGACCGTGGCCATTGTGCTGTACACAGGTCCACGTGTCAACGTCCAGGTCCGGTCATGCACATCACGTTGTGAATGATAAACGAAACGATGGGAAGCAGCCCAGGCGAAGCAGTGTCCATCGTCTACTCTGCGGCCAGGCAGGCAGGCAGCCAACCGAGCTGTGAGGGTCCCAGGGCTCTGCTCCCGCCCGGGCCCTGTCCCGGGGCTGTCCCCGCCCAGGTTCTGTCCCGGGGGCCCGGGGCTCTGCCCCCACTCGGGTTATGTATTAGGCTCTGCCCCCGGCGGGGTCCGGCCCCGGCTCCGGCCGCGGTCCGGTCAAACGCCGTCCAGGTGCGGGGTTGTCCAGCTCAGACACTCTCTGAGCTCCTCGGAGGTGACCGAGGAGCAGTCGGCCTGCCGCTGACAGCAGCCGAGGATCGTCTGTGTCACCGACTCGTCCAGGCTGAGCGACGCCAGCAGCGCGGCCACGCCCTCCGGCGCCACCTGGCGGGCACCAGGCGGCGCTGCAGTCGGCTCACCAGGCGGCGCTGCAGTCGGCCCACCAGGGGGCGCCGCGGCGCGGCCCTCCTCCCAGCTCTCCCCGGACGGAAAGAGCAGCGAGTCGATAAAGGTGACCGGGGCGGACTGCGGAGGCGGCGGTGGGCCGGCGGCGGCGGCGCTGCCCGGCTGGACCGCTGCCGCCACGCCGCCACTGGCCCCCGAGACGTGGCTGCGGCCGCTGCCGAACCCGTGTTCGGCATCGTCCAGGGCGTCCTCGTCAGGAATTCCCAGCTGAAGTCGCAGCTTCTCCAGTTCCGAGCGCATCCGGGCCTGTCAGCGAACGGGATGGTATCATTGCAGCAGACAGCGAGATAGGCCTGCTTTAAGGATTTAACGATGTGCTGAATATTGCAGAGGCAAGATGGTCACGAGAATAGGTATGAATCTATGGTAGCCTCCAACAAGGGCTTATAGTGTGTTTTGTTATGAATGCGAATGATCTACGTCATAGCGTCAGTTGAAGGCAAAATAAGTATACAGCTGAAGCCACTCCTTGAGTAAGGGAAGTCGCGTATCGCGGGTAGGTATAGGTATTCGACGCCACACATTCTGTGGGGCGCCAGGTAACTCTCATACGGTCATAACATAGCACATGACGGAAGCCGCTGTAACACTACAGGCTGTAGTGTTGCGTTCACAGTTGATTTGTCTCACCGTGTCCAGCTTTCCTTTGTGTCTCTCTGCGTGCGCAGCCATGACCCGCTTCAGAATGCGGTTGGTGAATACCCCGCGGGCCAAGATGTCCGATGTGACGTCATTCAGGAACTGTACGTACGCCTGTTCATCGGCAGTGCTGCGGGCAAATGCATCACGTCAGCACCAGGGCTCACCGGATATGCTGTGCTCGGTAACTATCTACTTGATATTCACTTTTGTTTTAACCAATATGTTTTTTTTGTATAGGTAACTATTATGACTCTGGAACTGTGCAGCCGTGCAGGTATCTGTCACCGCATGTCACAGGTCCATGTCTGTCACAAGCTACAAACTATACGCCGGAGTCTGATCAGACAGGCCATTTGTCACCGCGGGCCCGTGGCGGTTCGGCTGTTGACTGGCGCCCACACTGACCTCTGGGCCGGCTGAGCCGCTATAGGTGGCGCCAGTGTCGCTCTGCTGGCGGCTGCCGGCGCGGGCGGTGCGATGGCGGGCGGCCGGACAGCCTGGCCGGCCGTCGTCTCCTCCGGCGTCGGGCCGCGACTGCTCGAGCTGAACCCGCCGTAGGCGCTGTCTTTGCTCGGGGAGCGGTCTGAAATTCAAGCATTTTCAGCGTCCTCTTCAAAAGAAGGCTTACCTACTAATGCCAATTGCCATTGCTGGATAGCTTTGCAATACTATCTTATTATATTCTTTAAATAATAGACATAAACTATGCCTAGTCAACCCGCGCCGGGCCGGGGGGGGTGTTTGAACACCCCCCTGCGGTTTTTCGCAGATATCTAAAAAACGGCGGCGCGGAGCGCCGCCGTTTTGGGCACACCTGTTCGTGCATCTTTTCCGCACATGTTGTGAAAATTTCAGACCCAGGTCGCCTTAGGTCAGGTCACCAGGTCACGCCAAGTGACCTCACCTCAGAAAAATAAGAATGCTCGTCATAGCTACACCGATTGATCGATTGCCTTGAAATTATCAGCGATTGATAAGAGCAACATTATCTAAAAAATGCATATCTCTAAATTTTGATATCGGTGACCTAAGGTCAGGTCAATTTTGCGGCCTCTTCATTATAAGTCAATGGAAGAAAATTGAAAAGCGTCTGTTTTGCACGAACGCCATTCTAGACACTCTCAAACATCGAGATGTAGGTAAAATTGACACACTGAACCGGAAAATGGCAACTGTGACCCCTCGTTATGTCCCTGAGGTCATCTCAGGTCACGAACAGAATCTAACAGTTTTTTCGCTAATAACTTCTGATAGAGGCGCGCTAGAGCGCTGAAAACGCCTTAGATGTGTTCGGCTCGACGTTGAGGATCGACTGATATGCAACATGACCTTTTCCGGTCAGGTCATGACCTTGACCTGAGGTCAAATTTTTAAGTTGACCTTTCAAGGTCAAATTATAGTTCATTCGACGCGTCTCGACGAGAGGAACACGATGCTGGCAAAAGTAATGTCATGGCTCATTTGAGTCAAAAGTTATCGCCGAAAAAACGCTTTTCGTAAAAACGTTTTTTTTAGTTTTTGCCCTCTGGAGGCTAAACCGTTGACCTGAGGTCAAATCTGAGAGCATTACTTAGAAAGGCCTGTAAAAGGGCTATGGAATGCGCTTTTCCGTGGCGCTGTAGCTCTATCGGTTCCCGAGATAGCCGTTGGCAGTTTCCAAAACGTTGAAATAGTCGACATTTTACCTTTGGTGACCTCTGGCGACCTGACCTTCGACCTGACCCAAAAAATGACTGAAGTGTTTTCTTCCTTATTTTGGACGTTCTTTCGGTTGCCGCTTACCGCGTGTCGCTACGTGGCCCAGGAGCCGAGTTAGAAGGGGGAGGGGGTGTTCAGACACCCCCCCCCAGGCCCAGCGCGGAATCGCGCGGGTTAACCCTCGCCCGCACATGCCATTTTCCCATCCTAGAACGCACATGGGGGGGGGGGGTGGTTGCCACCCCCCCGCGCCATTTCGTTCCTGTTGGAGATAGAGCTTAGCGGTAAGGACCAAAAAGATTCTTTGGGAAGAGACAAATCCAATGATACCCAGTTTTACCTTCTCAGGTCAGTCATTGACCTTCCAGGTCAGGTCAAACTAAAAATGTTGCTGTTTTGGGTCACCGTTGAATATCAAGTGCGCTGCTTATCATATACCGATAACGATGCCGTTTTCTGGTGCCAAGCCAGCTAGAACCTCTTTGTCACACTACCCGACCAGGTTTTTGCTGCTAAGGTCATTTCAGGTCAAGTTAGGTCAAGGTCAATTATATGTGTTTGTATGTCTGTGTGTGTCTGTGTGTATACTGATGTGTGCACCGATTGGTTATGTGTCCATATTACATGAAATCATGATCTGAGAAGCTTTTACCAAAAATGCAGTCAAAAAAACTTCACAAAAAGTAAATTCCGCTTGCCTAAAACGCAATTATCTTAGATGACCTAGGTTGACCTTGACCTTGACCTTGACATCTGTACATCGTCGAACAACATGTTCCATGATAGGTGGGAGGTAGGATTGGCATAAAAGGCCGAAATCAAGGTGTTAAAAGCTCACAAGGCCCATAGCCAACGCAAGATGTTGAGAATTGGCCATTTGGGTCATGACATGACCTGAAAAACAAGGTCATATCTCCGAAACCAAAAATCACAGAAACTTGAAATTTTCAGTGGACGTCAAGAAAGGATAGAGGAGCAGCTATACGAAAAATCAGCCTTCTAGCTCTAAAAATGTTGAGTGCAGAGCAGAAAGACTACCTGGGGGGGGGGGGGGCAACCACCCCCCCATGTGCGGGCGAGGGTTAACCCGCGCCGGGCCGGTGCTCCGAGACTTACGCGCCGGGCCGGGGGTGTCTGAACACCCCCCCCCCCTTCTACCTCGGCTCCTGGGCCACGTAGCGACACGCGGTAAGTGGCAATGGAAAGAACGTCCAAAATAAGGACGAAAACACTCCAGTCATTTTTTGGGTCAGGTCAAAGGTCAGGTCACCAGAGGTCACCAAAGGTAAAATGTTGGCTATTTCAACATTTTGGAAACTGCAAATGGCTAACTCGGGAACCAGTAGAGCTACAAAGCCGCGGAAAAGCGCATTCGATAGCTCTTTAAACGCTCTTTCGCCAACATGTCCTCAGAGTTGACCTCAGGTCAACGTTTTAGCCTCCAGAGGGCAAAAATTCCAAAAATAGCAGTTTTTAGGAAAAGTGTTTTTCGGCAATAACTTTTGACCTAAAAGAGCCACCCACGACATAACTTTGCGAGCATCGTGTTCCTCTCGTTAAGACGCTTTAAATGAACTATAAATTGACAATGAAAGGTCAACTTTAAAATTTGACATCAGGTCAAGGTCATGACCTAACCGGAAAAGGTCATATTGCATATCAGCCGATCCGCATCATCGAGTCGAACACATCTAAGGCGTTTTCATCGCTCTAGCATGCCTCTATCAGAAGTTATTAGCAAAAAAAAAAACTGTTAGATACTATTCGTGACCTGAGATGACTTGAGACGCCTTTCAATTTTCTCCCATTGACTTAAGGGGTAAGACGGGCAGGGTAGGTAAGACGGGCACCCCTTCTGCAGACCAAATCAATAGCGTTACGAGCCAGAAAAATTAGGACCAGAATTGTCTTTCCCACATACTCGTACACACCACTGTTGAAGTCTGGTGAATTTGTGTTCAGTCAAAAATCTTTTATTTTGATTTCTTTAAAACACCCATTTCATTGAAAACATCCATAATGTATCGTGCAAGTTTGTGTGTGCAGCACAATAGAGATAAAAACTCGCAATCACTTGTGGTACACTCATATGCCACCAGTGTTCATTTACCGCGGATTTGCTTTGTCTGCATCAAATTGTCCACAGAGAAAAATCGTGCTGAACTTCTGACATTGAGTTTGGGGTAAGACGGGCAACTATGGATCCAATGGGTCTGTAATGGTGAAAATATTTTTGTTGCTGTAGGAAAAAAAGAAGCATTTCTGTTATGAATATGTTCGATTTCGATACTCACAGACTTGTTAGCAATATTCCTTCGGCACAGTTTATTCTCGAATAATGAATGTGAAAAACGGCTCTATAAGGCTTCTGAACTAGGGCTTATCTACGAGCATACGCCTTCTGCACGAATCTCGTACACTGCCTTTTCCGAAGCACTTGAGACCAACGAGCGACTGTATTAATGCGGCTAATCTCGGGCATTTGTTGCGAGCTGCGCTGGTCGGTGAAAAAAGCTGGCCGTCTTGCCCTACCCATGTGACCGTCTTACCCCATGGGGTGGGGTAAGACAGGTTTTTGCAAGGTTTTGCAAAAATAGCTGCAGTTTATTTGTTGAATCAGCTAAGCCTCATCTTCTGGTAAATGGAAATAAAATGTCTAAAAAAGGTTTTCACTCAGTTTCATGTTTCTATGATGTTTCTAACCGGCCGAAAAATGACTCCAAAGTTAAGGTGCCCGTCTTACCCCACTTTCCCCTTTAATGGAGAGGACGCAAAATTGACCTGACCTTAGGTCAACGATATCAAAGTTCCGAGATATACGTTTTATAGATACTGTTACTCCTATCTATCGCTAAAAGTTTCAAGGGAATCGTTCAGTCGGTGTAGCTATGACGAGCATTCTAACTTTTTCTGAGGTGAGGTCACTTGGCGTGACCTGTTGACCTGACCTTGAGCGATCTGGGTATGAAATTTTAACAACATGTGCGGAAAAGATGCACAAACAGGTGTGCCAAAAACGGTGGCGCGGAGCGCCGCCGTTTTTGAGATATCTGCGAAAAACCGCAGGGGGGTGTTCAAACACCCCGGCCCGGCGCGAGATTACCCACCGACAATTTCAAGCAAAAACAACGTTATAGGTACATACCTTTGGCTATGGCGTTCATGCGGGTAGGTACGCTAATATTTATCAGTCAGCAGATGAATATGAGCCGGCAGCGTGGCGCTGCCGGCCGGCTATAGCGCAATGTCTTACAGTTGGAGGCGTTGACGCCGTGCGCTGCGCGGCGCCGTGTGACCGCCTTGGAGGCCTGCTCCCTGAGCCACGCCTCCTGGTCCGAGTCGGGAGAGATGGAGAGCGGCGGCACGCGCGAGCTGGCTGCCCCGGACGAGCCCTGCGCAGGGACGCAGGCAGTCAGACAGACCGGCAGACCGACCGACAGACAGACAGACAGGCAGACCGACCCACAGACCGACACACAGACCGACAGACAGACCGACCGACAGACAGCAAGACAGGCAGACCGACCGACAGATCGACAGACAGACCGACAGACAGGCAGACCGACAGACACACAGACCGACAGACACACAGACCGGCAGACCGACAGACAGACAGACCGGCAGACAGACCGACAGACCGACCGACAGACAGACCGGCAGACCGACAGACCGGCAGGCAGACAGACAGACAGACAGACCGACAGACCGACACACAGACCGACACACAGACCGACAGACAGGCAGACCGACAGACAGACCGACAGACCGACAGACCGACAGACAGACCGACAGACCGACAGACAGACAGACAGACAGACGGAAGCACTCACCCGCTCCAGATCACCTCCGTTGTCGTCGTCCTCCTCCTCGAAGTCGTCGTCATACTCCTGGCGGAGCGGCTCGCTGTCCTGGTCGGCGCCCGCCTGGCTGTCCTGGTGGTAGTCCTCGGAGAGCTGCGAGGAGTGGCGCCGGTCGGCCGAGCGTCCTCCTGTCAGCGGCGGCGAGCAGGATCCGGCGGGCCGGGCGGCCGGCCGCCGCACCGCCGCCGGGCCGCGGTACACGCGCAGGTACCGCAGCCGGGGACTGACGCTGGTACGCAGCACCTGCCGCCAGCACCGCCACTCAGCACATCTGTCCGCCGTTGAGCTCCCTCTCAGATGTTATCCTCGTTACTGCACTGGCAGCCCTGACCCGAAACTGAGGGCTCGAACCGGCGTCTGACCACCCATCCCACGGCCTCTGGTAGCCCACCCTACGGCTTCTGGTAGCCCACACCGGCCGGTCAGGTCCCATGCCAGCATTAAAGGGTAGAAGCTGAGTAAAGACCTCCGTTCCGGCGTGGGCACCTCCAAAACAGCATCATCCAGGTGAGGCGACTAGGGGGTGGAAACAGTTCCTTCGGTTGAGCCATCCGGGTTCCATTCCCGGGCAATGCACGTGGCATAGCCGCTGCCGGGCCGCTTGGAACAGCATGAGAGTTCCGGCCAGCACTTGGTCCACTGGATTTCGTGCTTAATTCAAAGTGCATTTTTAGGGTGGTGGAGCGGGAGCAGGGGGCTCCAATGGGAGCTATCGATTCACATACGAATGAGCTAGCCACAAAAGAGCTAGTGTTGTTTGAGCTAGCTCATTTGGGCTAGTGCCACAAAATAGCTAGTGCGATTGTAACTAGTCCTACAAAACAGCTAGGAGCAAAATGACTACAGTGTTGTAAAGGGCTAGTAGATCGGCTAACGCCGTACCTCTTCGGGATTTTATAAGCAAAGTTCAGTTCAGATCAGATCGGTCACTAAAAAGGTCGTAATATTAAAAAAAAGACAGAAACACACGACTCAGATTTTATACTCAAACGTTCATCGAAATGTTGTATCCAACTCCGCGAAGAAACTCCTGCCTGTCTATGATGTCTTCTGTGAGGCGGCAAATGAGGGCCTTAATTCGTTTATTTATATCGGCATACTTTTTCTCTTGTTTTTGAACTTTGTTTCCTGCTTTAAATTTGTAAAGTTCGGCAGCTTGCAGCGCTTCTTCTTTTTGAATCGAGGCCAGAAAACTCCAAAGTGACGGGTGTGGCGCAGTAGCGGCGGAACACCTTCAATTAAGGGGAAGGGGAGGGGGGGCACTGCCGACTTTTGGTCCCATTCTATCCATGCAACGCCCATAGGGCTAATGTTAAACTGCCAAAATCAAAGGGGGGCACGGTGCCCCGGTGCCCTCCCCGTTCCGCCGCCTATGGTGTGGTGAGTCCACCAGTCCTTGGATTGCCCGCCCATACCATCGCATTCGCCGACCGTCCAGCCAGGAGCGAACAGGTCTCCATGGTGAGGATGGCGATGGGTGGGCTTGTTCCGAGTAGGTATAGCAGCAACAGATTGGGCGACATCAACACGTTAAAGGGGAATACACGGGGCTCGGAGCGCGAAAAGTGTTTGGTTTACGCCTTTAGTTTTGGGTGTCTGACGCATCGCACTAAAAATACACTTGCTTTCAAGGTCTGACCCCCTGATGGGTCACGTCGCGTCGGTGACTGCTTGGTTTGGTCCCCCAGTTAACGAGTGCCTGCTCTATCTGACGCGATGCTCTCACCTGCGGCCGGAACGGTCGTTTGGAGGTGAAGTCCTGCGGGAAGCGCTCCATGACGTCTCCGGTGGCCGGCTGCCGTTTGCGGCCGGCGGCCCGGCCGGCCGGCGGCCTCGGGTGGCTGGCCGCGCCGCGCCCAGCCGCCGCTCGGGCCCGGCTCGCGCGCGGCGACCGCTCCACGACGGCCTTGGTGGCGCGGACTTGACTCAGGTAGCTAGAACCAGCCGTCGGTACAATGGTAAGAATACAGATTAAAAAACTGCCCCGCCAAAACGCCCATGCAACTATACATACACATGCCATTCACTGCAACTAACTGCAGTCAACAACTAGCTGTTTTTCACACTGTTCACAGCGGTAGCATCAACGGTTCATCAACAACGCATTTCATTAATGCAATGCAGGAACAGCAAAAGAAGTCCTGTTGACATACTTTAAAGGACGCCATCAAGGGCAACGCCGATCAACATACTTGTTTTGAGCTTTTCGCTTCATCTACGGAGCACAATGGCAATAAAAATCACCCATACCGCCCTGTTCCGTCCAAATCACCCATACCGCCCTGTTCCGTCCAACTCCCTCGAGTGTCCGTCAGGTCAAACTACAGTATTTTTTTTTAAATAAATTTAGTCCGAACCTTTTGATGGGAAGGATTCACAAGGACAGAGCCACCGCTAAGCGAAGCTTGTTGCGATGACCCTGCCCTCTACCCTCCGATCGCGCAATTCCGATTCTATGGCAGAATTTAGAGTCCAAAGTTTAACGTGCGCACAAAGCCGCGCACGGCCGGTCCCCTCGCTGATTTCACCTGGCTACGGCCTTCCACCAACCGCAACCATACCTGTCAGGAGGCCCATAAATGTCGAGCGCACGTCGCGCTTCGAACCCGGACTGTCATAACCGGGAACGCGTGCTCTCACCACGCGGAGTCCAACGCTCTAACCAACTGAGCTACGGGACCAGTAATCGTGCTTAACTTAAAGTAAACGAAAACCCACCAAAGTGCCGGCAGTGAGGGCCCGGCAACTCCCCTCTGTGGGGTGACCGTTTGAGCGGCAGGGCGGGCTGTCCGATCGGGACAATCCCGCCGCCCCACCGGGACAGAGTCTGCCGCTGCGGCGCACCGTCGGGGTCCGCACAGTCCGACGTTCTCATTCATCTTATCATCCCAGAGCTCTGCAACGGCCTTTTCAGGCCGAAGAAGCTCCCCTCCCCTAAAAGAGCTCTGTCTGTTCCCGAGGAGAGCCGGCCGCCGCTGCAGCAGCTCCGCCGGGATGTTATAGCCTGTCGCGGAGCTGTATGGAACACCGTTCACGCTGGTGACTGGGTAGCGCGGCCCATGCTCAGCAGCCAAGGGCTCCAAGCTCGATGGGTTGCCGATGCGATTCATAACGAGTCGCTGATTACGTAGGCTAGCGAAACGCATGGTCTCATTGTGGTTTAACTAGCATGACACTAGTAACTAATAGCCGTTTTCAAGACGGTCTATCCGGCGAGTGCACCTAATTTGACCAAATCGCACCTAATCTCTTTTACAGCAAATATCTTCATTTTATGAATTTATTTCAGTGTTTTAATCGACGATGCTCTCTGATAATACGACAAAGCAGGCATATAAGCAATTAGTGTAACCCTAGCTGATAGCTAAGAGACACACTGAACCTGATTTGACCAAATCTGCACCTGATCTGCACCAGATGTGCACCAAATGTGTACCAGATGGCCGTCGTGAAAACGGCTAATATGTGCTGAACGAACCATTTTACTACCTCTTAATCACAGTCCCTATGTATAAAAAAGTCTATGCACTAAGTAATTTAACAGCCTCACCGGTTTTCTCTATCTCTAACTTTTGTTTAATTGGTGACATACGCTATTTGAAGCAGGCTTTGTCACTTTGTGGTGCTCTATCGTCCAAGCACTTCTTTGATTCCGTTGAAATAGCAAAGGTGCAGATACCTACGGCGCAGACATACGTACATCCTACATTTATGGCAACCGGATTATTGACAAATGAGTGTGCGCTTCTATTTAAACAAAGCCCTGCTCCCGCACACCAGTGTATCGTTAGGTGCCCTATGTCAATGTATGCATATAAGAGGTGCCCACAGGGTGGCACGACCCGTTCCGTGCTTCTATCCTCGGGATAGGTACTGAAATCCTTCTCCACGCCGCAACCCCCTCCGGGCTGGACTGGCAACTTTATCTCATGCGGGCTGCTCCCTTGGAGCGGCACCGCTGCTCCCGAGGGAGCGCACCCCGTAGCCGGGTGCAGTGAGTACCTTGGGGCTGGGTGGCCTGTCCTCTGGACGGGCTCAGCCCCGGTGACTCACTATAGGGTGCCTGCCCAGACCAATGTCTCCCCCCTAATTCCTATCATCCTTCCGGCTCTGAAATGGTCTCGTCAGACCGAAAGGGCCTAAACCAACAAAACAAAAACAAACAAAAACAGGGTGGCAATGCGGCCGACTGCCGCGGCCCGGCCGGGCCCGGGTGGCCGGTGTGCCTACGTGCCGCCTAATGGGCGCAGTCAGATATGAGCCCCCGTCGGCCCGGCGGGGGTGGGCCGGCCAATCCGGGCGGTGCGTGTCTGGGCGGTGCACCAGGCCCGGTCCTGCCCACGTACCTGTCGATTTTGCCCAGGATGGAGTCGGCGTCGGCGCCGCTCTGCCGCTCGGAGGGGCTGGGCAGCTGCGATCCGACCCCCGCCTCCGGCGCCGGCGACTCCCGCACCTGTGCGCAGAATGGGACCAGCCGCGGAGGTGCCCGCCTCTGAACTGTCTGACCTGGCAGCCTCTGAACGGTTTGACCTGGCAGCCTCTGAACGGTCTGAGCTGGCAGAGACCCAGGTCAGACAGCACACAGCTCTGACCGAGAGCGCCGGCCGGTCCAATCATCGTTACTAAAATCACATTCTAGGAAACCTCAACCTAAGATAGCCTGGGACGTAAACAAAGTTAAGTTATTGAATGGAGTCAATGTGGATACGATGTTCAGCATGTTGGAGAGCAGTTAGATCAAGTAGGAATTTCCTACTTGATCTAACTACTTGATCTAAATTTCATCGGGCTGTGACCCATCGTTCTTCCCTGATTTTGCATATTTTAACGCAATCTATAAGAAAATGCGATTATTTTCATTCCTTTAGTGCAATAACAGCATAGATTCTCAAGGCCAAGTCAGTCAAAGGTCCGATGAAAATTAGCCATGTTATAGATACGTTAACCCTCGCCGGCACAAGGATGCAACCCCCCTAAGGTGTTTCAAAAATAACTCACGTAAAAAGCGGGCGATCACGACGAAACTCTCAGCATCCTCGAGTTAATCACTTTTACACCTACCCTACAAATTTCATGACCCTGGCCCAAATGATCTTTGACCTGTGACCTATTTCTCGAGACCATCTTTGGCCGGAATCGCGATTCGGCGTATGTCGGCCCGCATTAGACGCCCGTTTGCAGTCTTTGCGTGGTTTCAAGCGTTCAAACATGTGATATGATGTTGGCACTTGGGTCCATGCATTAGGGTGGGTGTCAAGGTCACCTGAAGGTCAGGTCAGGCCATTGACCTTTGATGACCTCGGTCCACTTTTTCGAGTTTTACATGTTTCTAGGCTAGTTAGTTTTTGGCTCTGAATTCGAACTTAGCAACCATATGAACATTTACGAAGTAGTTTTGGTGTCTTTGTAACATGTTACGAAGCTGTCAGAAGCGGTTGACACGTTACAAATACCTGACAAGACCCCTACTGTCTGACCTGACCTGACCTGACCCGACCTGGCCTAAATTCATTAAGACATCATATGGGATCAAAACTAACATAATATTAGTGATCAGCACCCCGAAAACCCCAAAGCAGCCACACTTAACCCGCGCCCCGTAGGGGGGGGGGGGCCGAAACGGCCCCCCTGTCCTTTTCGGTCGATATCTCCTAAACGGCTGGAGATATGGCCACCAAACTTTCAGGACCCCTCCGGGCATCAATTTTACACATTGTGACCAAAAATTTTTTCCAGAGGCTGTGATAGGTTGGCCACAAATGACGTCAGAGTGACGTCATGTTCTGTCATTTTCGACCGAAAAAAGACCTTCGCGAGAAGACCTGTCAGGCCTACAGCTTTGAAGATACAGAAAAATGATCAAGACATAAAAGGTGTAGAATTAACAGGGCTACAAAACTGCTATCTCGGATTTTTGAAATTTTTGAGTTTTGATCCCCAAAAATCAAAAAAGCATTTTTTTGGATATATTAGCCACAAAATCCAAAAAGTTTTTTGAGTTTCGAAAAAACCGGAATATATGTGACAGTACCTACCGTCTTCTATCTACATACCAAATTTCAGATCGATACCTCGTTTTTTGGCCAAGTTATAGCGAAAAAACTGTTCAAAAATGATGACGTCAAATTTTCAAACTCAATTTTTGGCAATTCTAGAACTCGTAGAGCAAAACAAAGACCACCATTAGACTCCCCGTGACGAGCTGCATCGAATGGATACCCATTTTATGCAAAAATATCAACTTTGAAATTTGACCTAATTTGACCTGACCTTGACCTGACCTTCACCAAAACGTGACCTAGGCTGGCCCCAAAGGCTGCCTAACCCACATAATCGCATTTGTCATGTAAAATGGACCATAAAACATGTATCACACGACACATTCATATTGTGAACCCCGGTGACCTGACCTCGCTGTGACCTGACCTGGTATCAGTGACCTCAGATAGCAAAGTATGTGTTTGACGAACAATATACCATCGATGGTTTTCAATAAATTACCAATTTACTCGATTTCACAGCACATTTCTTGAATTGCCTGTGAACGGTGAAAATCTGACCTTTGACCTGACCTGTGACGTCATCGGTTTGACCTAGGTCAATGAAATTTGGTCACAAGGTAGTTCCCGGGTAGGGCTATCAAACGCCGTTTGAATTTTGAAAATCGGCCGGTAACTTTCCGAGATCTTAGGGGGGGGGGGGGCCGAAACGGCCCCCCCCCCCTACGGGTGGCAGGGTCCGCCGGTAGCCCTACGGGGCGCGGGTTAACGACGTTCTAACAGGTCCCGATTTTCCCGACTTTTGGGTAATCGACCTGGCCTATAGAAGATCAGCCGATGACCTAGGACCTTAAAATTGGGTATCATCGGCTTCCTCTCGTCACGGGCAACACGCTCGTTTTTTTTTCGCCAAGCTCTAGCTCGATCAGAGGTGAAACGCGAGGGGAGTCGCCTCGCACCAACTCTTTGTGCAGTCGAAGGACGCCAAAATGGCGCGTGCCGGCGAGGGTTAAAATACCCTACACTTAAACCCACGAGCCGCTGGGGGGGGGGGGGGCATAAAGTTGCCCCCTTTACGTTTTGTGAAATATCTCCGAAACCTGATGAGCTACGAACGTGAAACTTGGCGTAGCTTCAAATGAATACCAAGGCAATGTTTAAGGAAAGTTTGGTGGTTGTAACACTTAAGATGACGTCACAGTGACGTAATTAAGTTTTGTCATTTTCCGATACGGACCGTTTCTGATGTCGCTGAACATGAAACTCACCTGTAAATGAACCAGACAGCACCTGTTGTCATCCTAAAACATCTAAGTACACTTCCAACTAGTTCCTGACCAAAAATCGGTCCTTTATGTTCGGTCTCATGTGTCGGATATATCGTGAGGAAACTGAGAGTTGCAAATCTATAATTTGACTTCTGACGTCACTGTGACGTCATTTCAAATGAGATTGACACCAAATCCGGACACAACCTCGGCGAGGTATTTAGGAAGTTGTGTGCAAAGGTTCGCTTCTCTATCTCTTCGCGTTGCGACGATATCGTTGCAGAAGTAAAGGGGGGGGGGGCAGCTATATGCCCCTCCCCCGCAGCCGTCGGGTGGCGCGCAGGCCCAGCGGCCGCCGGGTAAGGAGCCGGTGGTGTGATGTCCTCTGTTTTTTGAATATTTTCATACTGGTTCTGCCATATTGTGTTAATTAAGCAGCCATACATGCAACAAAAACAGTGGGCCGTTTCACTCCTAATTTAGCTAGAGTCTTGCGGAAAAATCGGGCGTGTGCGTCGTTACGAGATACAGCGGCTGATATCCGATTTTTCAGTGACGTTCACGACCTGTTAGTGAACAGAGCATTACTCGTGAACAGGTGACCTTGAATGAAGAACTTCGTTAACTATCAAATCAGTAAACGAACGTCATTCACGGACTGTTCACGAACAAATATACAAACACCAAACCCTGGCGTTTAATGATTCAGGAAGTGACGTTATATGACGCAAGTCATACTGCAGCGGGAGTTGCCACTTAGCCATTACAAATCTAAGCAAGTCGCTGCTTAAGCCCTTGTTACACTGCCGAATTTTAGTACACGAATGTGCACGAATGTGCAAGTCATCCTATGTCGCGGACCGATTCGGTATCTTTCTTCCACGGTCTTGGCATTTCACAGACCAGTCGGTGTCCACCGCGCGACTTTTACGGTTCGTCACGACCGCCAGGAACATTTCATGAAAAATGAAAATTTCGTGGCCGTTCGCCGAACTTAAAATAAACGAACATCGTCGCCAAGCAGTCGCCGAGTCACCGCCGACATGTCGTTGCGTGCGCCGACTTGTTGCCAAGGTATCGCCGACTATTCGCAACAGATTCGCCATTCATTCGTGATGTTCGGCGAATCATGGATCAACTTCGACCCGCGCACGATTAGGGGGGCCCCCACCCGTTTTCTGCAAATCGAGCTCTGTCGGCGAACTGTCCGCCTCTGTCGGTGAACTGTTCGCCGATTTCCTACACGACATGATTCGGCGACAGGGTCGTGGCCAAAATTCGGCAGTGTAACACGGCCTTTAGCGGCAAATGTCGGAACAGTCCAAGCTGGGCCAAAACTACCCCCGAGAAACTCATCCTGGAGACGCCCCTGCGCAAGCTAGAAACTCAGAAATTTGATACAATGTGTCCAATGAATGGCAAGGAAAAGTCACTAAATTTCAAACCCCTAGCTAGAGTGGTTTTCCGTCGAGAGCGAAAAAACTACAGGTGGGGGCCAATTCGGCCCCCCCCCCCCACCAGTAATAGGGCCTGGAGCGCCCGCGGCGGCCGTGCACCGGTGCCGGGACGGCCGTGCACCGCTCAGCCATCGGTCGATACTCGTACACTAGGCCGGTGCAGAGGTGCCGTGACGGCGTACCAGTGGCCGCCGCATGGCGCACACCCACCGTCACCGAAGGGGCGGGGGTGGGGGGTGGGGGGGGGGCGGGCCGTGCACCGGCCGCACGGAGCACCGCACCTCGGCTGCATTTAGGAATGAACATAGCGTATGCATTGAGCCGCCGAGGCACGGAACCGTAGAACGTTGATTCATTTATAAACCACGACGGAATATCAGATATAAAGGCCGCTTGCTTTCAGTCACGGGAACGGCTCTTTCCAGAAGCAAAATAAAGCTAATGCTATCCCTCGCCCGTATAGGGGGGTCGAACGGACCCCCCCATGGTTTTTCGCGAATAACTCGCGTAAAAAGCGGCCGATCGCAACGAAACTTTCAGTACCCTCGCGTTCATCAATTTTACACCTACTCTGAAAATTTCATGACCCTGACCCAAATGACATTTGACCTGTGACCTACTTTTCGAGACCATGTTTGGCCGGAATCGCGATTCGGCGTATGTCGGCTCGCATTAGCCGCGCGCTTGCAGTCTTTTCGTGGTTTCAAGCGTTCAAACATGTGATATGAT